TGCGTATTGACTATAAGATTTTACTTTTGACTTTCAAATGTATTTATGGCCTAGCGCCAACTTATCTTAGCGATCTTATTAGTATAAAATCGAATTCATTATATAATCTTAGGTCTACTGGTAAGCTCTTATTGGACCATCCCAAGGGAAAGATGCTCTCAACATTGGGAGCAAGATCATTCTCAGCAGCAGCTCCGAAACTCTGGAATGAGCTACCTGTGGAGCTTCGTCAAGCAACATCACTTAACAGTTTTAAATCTCGACTTAAAACCTATCTTTTTAAAAAGTATTTTTATAGTTTGTAACTTAGTTTATTTTATTCTCACGGTAATGTATTTTCGTTTTCTTTTAAACATATGATTGTAAAGCGCTATTGATCAGCAAATGTAAATACGCGCTATATAAATTGGTAAATTATTATTAAATTATTATGATAAAATTTCATGGAAGCTAAATTTGAAAATGGGTATGATTTTAGAGGCCAGGCCCCAGTTGTTCAAAAGGTGGGTAACACTATCCATGGGATAAATCACTATCCACTGGATAGCGCAATTTGTTTTCCTAAAACACCTGTCAGTTGGATTTTGATTTATCCGGTGGATAGCACCATCCAACTGTTTAACAACTAGGGCCAGGTCTGAAAACAGGTGTGGAAAATGACATTATTTTTTTGGTCTGAAATAGGGTCAGGATTTGGAGGACTGGGCGGCACACCCCTACCAACAATTCCCTAGAGTAGCCCTCCCCCCCACCCTCTCTCGGGGCACTGACCTACTCATCAAATAAAGTTGCAGCCTGGTCCCTGACATCCCTGTCTGCTACTAACAGCTGCACAAACACGCAGGTGGCCTGCGTAGCTGGCGGTTTTTTGTTTTTCTATTTTGTGGTTCACAAAGTAAGAGGTACAGCGTCACAAAAGCTGCATCTAGGTGGAAACAGAAAATGATGGTTTTTCTCACTGCGTTCTTCCCTCGCCCGGCTCCTTCCCGATAGTTTTCCTTTTCGTCCTCGGTTCAGCATAACAGGCTGACACCAGACGTTTCCTGCTTTACCAGTTTGTGCGTGCTTACATGACATACTACCCTCCAAAACCTATCCTCCGGCTTGGTTACCAAGGTACGCTGCAATTGTCAACATGGCGGACACGAGGACTCGAGGATCTTCTCGATCTCCTGCCAGAGGAGTTAGAAACCGCTCTCGATCAAAGGAAAGAGAACGTCCAAGGGAACGAGAGGCCAATGAAAACAAAGTTTCAATCGATAGGGAAAAGGTATAGGTTTTATATGTCTAACTTGCGAAAACGCAAAGTCTGGAATTTGGCGACAAATGTTCAAGTGAAGCTTAAATTTTATTGAATTAACAAAGGATGCTTACATTGCTTGTGTTACGTTCTTTACAGACCTGTCCCTTGCTTCTAAGAGTGTTTTGTAATCAAGGTCGACATCACAGGTAATTTCTTTAGTTTTTTTAACAGACTTTTTAGCAGGAGAAAAATAATATAAGCCTTCTAGGGAAATCGAAAAAAGTTCGTGTTACTGCGCTTTTCACAAACATGCGAACTCTAAAGTTCAAAAGCCGCCTTCACAATCGCGTTTTTCGCTGCCGTCAATCATAATTACGATCACAAGCAACGAACCTTGAAACACAGAAACACACAAAAGGGATCGAAATCCACCAATCACACATCACAAACCATGACCTTTTGAACCCGTTAAAGTAAAGTTTTGTTTCCTAAGAGGTTCTTTAAGATGATTGACGGCAGTGAAAAACGTTCAAACACTGGATAGCACTACCCACCGGATAAATTACTATCCAGCAGATAAATATTAGGGAAACCAGTTGCCCTATCCACTTGATAGAGATTTATCCAGTGGATAGTGTTATCCACCTTTTGAACAACTGGGCCCTGACTAGTAAAAATGACTTTAAAAAAAATACTGTTTTTGTAACCATTTCAGAACTACAACTGTTTATAACTGTATGTAGGGTTTATTTCAGCTTGAAAAGTTTCAATGAAAACCTTAAGGGTCGTTGAATTATTTGGAAAGAAGTACGGCTGGATAAAGCAACAAGATTTTTACTGGAAGTTAATTTGCACTTTTCTCAAGCATTCTTTACACAATTGATTGTGCTCATTAAGGTACGCTTTGAAACAGCCTGCTAAATTGCGGCCGCCTCCATCTCTTCCTGTCTCTCAAAACTAAAATGGTGGGTTGCAATAAGAGGCAGCTGTATTTGCAAGCTAGGTTTTAATTTTTCATGACCTAGGACATTATAATATATGAAGTCTTACATGAGCGACATGCTATCAAAATTTGCTTTATTCATCATTGTAATGATAAATAATTAATCTTTGTTAGTGACTAAATACATGCCAGAATGTCCCAGAAGCCATACAATGAATAAAAAAGTTCTTATTTTGCAAAAAAATAGGCTAAATTTCAAACTGAAGCACAGAAAAACTCAAAAGTCCCTTTTTGCCTGGGAGATTTTGGGTGACCTGTACGGGACGGTGGCAGACTAGTGCTGTATCCGGGAGACTCCCAGATAACCTGGCAGGGTTGGCATATATATGTGTTCAAGATGCAATATAGCAAAATTGTATACCCTGTACCCTGACTCAGAACCCCGAAACTATTATCTTTTCAGAAGAACATACCCATTTAGGCCAACTGAAGGAGTACCTAACCGTCTGGGATAAAAGTTTATTAAGGGGTTGGATGTCAAGGAGGCTTAAGTCTCCCTCATAGCTGCTTTTGTCTTGTCATGCAATGCTAAATGGCTACAAAGGAAACTAGACGGAGCCTGCCCATAAAAATTTATTGAGTAGACCCTTTCCCGGGCCCTCACCCCGGGGGGTACATATAGGTATGTGCCGCCCAAAAGGGTATAGTTTTTGTGCCGTTTGGGTCTGAAAACGGGTGTAGACTTTACCCATTTTGGTCTGGAATGAGGTATGAAGGAAACTACAGGGGAGTGTATGAACTCATTTGTCATTTCAATTCCAAAAGTAAAAGAGAGGAAATATTAATATGCGAATTCGAAATGTATTTCTTTATGTTTGCATTCTAATCTAAGTAGCGGCAACTGATGATAAAATTTCATGGAAGCTAAATTTGAAAATGGGTATGATTTTAGAGGCCAGGCCCCAGTTGTTCAAAAGGTGGGTAACACTATCCATGGGATAAATCACTATCCACTGGATAGCGCAATTTGTTTTCCTAACACCTGTCAGTTGGATTTTGATTTATCTGGTGGATAGCACCATCCAACTGTTTAACAACTGGGGCAAGGTCTGAAAACAGGTATGGAAAATGACATTATTTTTTTGGTCTGAAATAGGGTCAGGATTTGGAGGACTGGGCGGCACACCCCCACCAACAATTCCCTAGAGTAGCCCTCCCCCCCACCCTCTTTTGGGGCACTGACCTACTCATCAAATAAAGTTGCAGCCTGGTCCCTGACATCCCTGTCTGCTACTAACAGCTGCACAAACACACAGGTAGCCTGCGTAGCTGGCGGTTTTTTGTTTTTCTAGCTTGTGGTTCACAAAGTAAGAGGTACAGCGTCACAAAAGCTGCACCTAGGTGGAAACAGAAAATGATGGTTTTTCTCACTGCGTTCTTCCCTCGCCCGGCTCCTCCCCGATAGTTTTCCTTTTCGTCCTCGGTTCAGCATAACAGGCTGACACCAGACGTTTCCTGCTTTACTAGTTTGTGCGTGCTTACATGACATACTACCCTCCAAAACGTATCCTCTGGCTTGGTTACCAAGGTAGCTGCAATTGTCAACATGGCGGACACGCGGACTCGAGGATCTTCTCGATCTCCTGCCAGAGGAGTTAGAAACCGCTCTCGATCAAGGGAAAGAGAACGCCCAAGGGAACGAGAGGCCAATGAAAACAAAGTTTCAATCGATAGGGAAAAGGTATAGGTTTTATATGTCTAACTTGCGAAAACGCAAAGTCTGGAATTTGCCGACAAATGTTCAAGTGAAGCTTAAATTTTATTGAATTAACAAAGGATGCTTACATTGCTTGTGTTACGTTCTTTACAGACCTGTCCCTTGCTTCTAAGAGTGTTTTGTAATCAAGGTCGACATCACAGGTAATTTCTTTAGTTTTTTTAACAGACTTTTTAGCAGGAGAAAAATAATATAAGCCTTCTAGGGAAATCGAAAAAAGTTCGTGTTACTGCGCTTTTCACAAACATGCGAACTCTAAAGTTCAAAAGCCGCCTTCACAATCGCGTTTTTCGCTGCCGTCAATCATAATTACGATCACAAGCAACGAACCTTGAAACACAGAAACACACAAAAGGGATCGAAATCCACCAATCACACATCACAAACCATGACCTTTTGAACCCGTTAAAGTAAAGTTTTGTTTCCTAAGAGGTTCTTTAAGATGATTGACGGCAGTGAAAAACGCAATCGCCAGTTGGCTTTTGAACTTCAGAATTCCGTGTGTGTGTGAAAAGCGCAGTAACACCTGGTGTTAAGTTTGAGGGAAATAACCGGGAATAAGGAAATATGCAAATGGGGTGGGGAGGGAATGAAAGTATCATGCACACTTCACTTCAAGGGCAGCAAGAGATATAGATTAATTATTATTTTGAAAAAGGAATTAAGTAACAAAGCTTGATTAACATACTTAAAATGACACTGAATTTGAACCGGGGAATTGACACAAAGAAGTCTTGCTTTGATTGTTCAGACTTCAGTTCACTGTTTTTTTTTTTTCAACTTGTCACGTGCTTGAAACATGGTTTGAGTTGTCAAGGGTATAATTTTATTGTTATATAGAAATGATCTGAAGGAAAAGAAAGTTACTTCGAGTTATCATGGGTTTGAGTTACTAAGGGTAAAATTACAGTAAATGTATGAAAGGTCCTTATTCCATTCTCCTAGCAGGTAAGGGCAATATGATGCAAGGTGTCTTGTCAGCTTGTTTTGGAAACTTACTGGTGCGAATGGTGATAGATGTTTATACGAATATATTAACTCTCCATTTCGTCTGGATTTCTTCACTGAACTAGGATAGATGAATATTCTAGGACGGCATTACCTTCAAATGAACTTCAAGTTTACACTTGGTAAGATTTGATCTTTGACTCCTGGTATCTTGATGCAGTAACTGTATTTACTCATGGTCTGTAAATAAATGCACTGTAAATAGATTCCATTTTGCTTTGTATCTGTCAGGTTATAGATTACAGGTGACATCAAAATATGGTAAGAACAAAGTTGTGCACTGTCACAAGCTGTTGGCGTAAAGTCTTTGATATACTTTCTACCCTTGCCACCCCAAACATAATTATTGGCTTCTAATGAAACAGATGCAAACAAAATGGAATCTATTTATTACATACAAGGCATGGAAACAAAAAAACTGGAAACCTGCCTTGAAATGCTCAACTGTGTTCAAAGATTTTTTTCTCTTTAGGCAATTTTACAAATCAAAATGAACACATTTAGTTTCAGTTGCTTTTTTCCCTTACTTGTAACTGCTCCAGCAAAACTTCCTTTCAGACTTTCTCTGTCAAACCAAAATAATCCTGTGAACATTTTAGAAACTGCTTTCTTTTTTGGACAACATAAAGCAAAGAATATTTTCTGTAAAGAAGGCTAACCACACTTTTGTACTCTATAGATCATCGGCAAGAACTAATCACAGTTTACAAACTATTAATTTTGGTACATTGTGTACTTTTTATAATAATGAGATGGCTTTTCATCACTGCTGAAAAAATTGAGCTGAGAAGAAATCAATGCATACACCCCTTGTAGTTATTGTTGGGAATCTTTTAATGAAATTTCTCATTTTAAACTTTGGTTATTCTCCATCGCAGGAAAGATGCCACACTGAAAGAGCTGATGAGCCTTGTCAAGGAAGTTAATCCTGATGCAAGGCGTAAAGGCACGATGTTTGATTTTGCTATAGTATTTCCTGATGCTCGGCGTGGTGGCTTCATTATGAAGGAAATTGGTTCCACTGCAGCAGGACGCAAAGGCACTGATGACAGTGTTACGCTAGAGTCAAAAAAGTTTCAAATAGGTGACTTCATTGATGTCGCTATTCAGCCACCTAGATTGGGAAGACGAGATAGACCTTATTGATGTCACTAAGTAACACAAACATTTTTTATTGTCATTTTGCTTTGATGCTAAGTAAAAGATTCAAATCTTCTTACATTATCAACATTAACATCCCTCATTCTTGTTTTGAAAAGCAGTCTTCTAATGTGAACAGATTAGCCTTATTTATTGTATCATTTTAGGAATCATTTTTTGTGAAACAACAATGGTGGTCAAAGATTCACATTGGATGAGTTCAGTTGGACTAATATTGAAATGCAGTTTGTTGTCAAGAAGTAGATGTATGATTTAATTAACCATTTTTGGATGAAAAAAGTTAAACCCCAGATTGTCTATTGAACACAATACTTCTTTATTATTATTTGATTGTGTCATATGGAGTGTGATTTCAACAAAATATTACACGAAAAAATACCTCAGTCTGAAAAAGGATAGGATAAAGAAGTAGCCTAACTTCGCTGTCCTCATTTTTCACAAATGCTGAAAGTGTAGTAGTGTAGTAGCTAGCTGTAAAAAACAACTCTGAATATGCTTTCAGAGCCATAAGGAAATCATGTCTACACTCCACAATAATTGTGAATGGTTGTTTCCAAACCAAGGAGCTGGAAATTGGGATTAACCTTGATCGTTGAATGTGCTTGATCCTGTGCCTCATTTTAGTAACAACGTGCACATGTACCGTTCATGTTGTTTAACATATTTTCTTTTCAAATAAAAGCTTAAATGTGCGAGTTAATTTGCCTGGAGTTATTTTGATAATCTGGCTGAACTTTTCATTTTTGGAACACTTGATAATAATGAGTTCCCAACTATAGAACCAGACCTCTGTGCTGGAGACCTAGGGTTAGTGCCACCCTTGGGGATAGATTTGCTTCTTGTCTGCAATGAACTTTTCTGATGAGGCAGCATGAAGCTTTGAACTGGAAGGCCAACATCAGGGTTGATTTTCTTGTCATGCACTTTAGCTGTGAATGAAGGAGGGAGTGAAGCTCAATTAAGTGCTTTGTGTTTCAACTTATTCTCCAGACACACTTTTTAAACTGAGTCTTTCTTTAATTTATGAGATTTTGATACACATTTTCTAAAATACATTACAGCCAGAAATTTGCTGAATGTTGAAAAATATTCAGCTTCCAATCATAATAGGCATCCCTTGAGCAATGATTTCTTTTTGTAGTATAAAATCAGGTGATACAAAGGATAGATGGACTGGGAAAAAAATGAGAAGATAATGGAAGGGACCTCCAGGGTTTATTCTAGAGTACGGCCTTATGGAATTTCCACAATTTGGAGAAAAATGCCGCATAAAATTTACTTTGCCACGTAATGATTGGCTGATCTAAAAAGAATAGAGAAAGCTTTTTGTGAAAATACTCATGAAACCTGGACCCAGTTCTTCAGGCCAATTAGTGCTATCCTAGGGTTAAGTTTAACCTGGGTTTTCTTTTGCTCAAAAGCATTTTTCCGGATAATTTTCTCTCTTCTTTTTGTAGTATCCAATCATCAAATTGTAGGCAAAAAGAATAAAACTGAATTTGCTTTTTAAGCTTTCATATCTGGGCCCATTATGGGCTCAGTTATTCAAAGGACGATTAGCGCTTAATCCAGGGTTAAATTTAATCCAGGTTTCTTTTTCGTATGTTCACAAGCATTTTCTCAGTTAATTTTCTCTCTTATTTTTAAGAGCATCCAATCATTGACTTGTTTACAAAAAGAGTAAAACTGAATTTGCTTTTTAAGCTTTCATATCTGAAATCAAATTTCGCACTAACCCTGGGTTAATTAACTTAACCCTCCTTTGAACAACCCGGCCCCGGATTAAAAGTTAACTCTGGGTTAGCGCTAATCGACCTTCAAACAACTGGGCCCAGTTGTTCGAAGGCCGATTAGCACTTAACCTGGGGTTAAATTTAAGCCGGGTTTCTTTTTCTTGTGTTCAAAAGCATTTTCTTGGATAATTTTCTGTGCTATATTTAGAGCTTCCAATCATCAACTTGTAGACAAAAAGAACTAAAACTGAAATGCCTTTTAAGCTTTCAAGTCTGAATTCAAATCTTGCACTAACCCTGGGTTATCTTTAACCCAGCTTTGAACAACTCGGCCCAGGTCCCAGAGGCCTCCGAGAAGATAAGAGATTTACTTCAACATCTTTTAAATTAAAAATCCACTTACACATTAACTCGGGATATAATTCTGATACATTGTTCAATAGTGGCTCAAAGATGGAATACTCTTTCCCAGTCAAGCTGTCAGCCTTTTCTGTGGTTGTAAAGGAAACAATAAAAAAAGGAAAAAACTGTAGACTGAAGTTGAGGATGCTAGCAACAGGTCAATTTCCAGATATCTAAAACCAGTATTAAACAGGTTATTCAAACTTCTCAAAACAAACTTACTTAATACTTTTAGAAGGATGTAATTTGCTCTCCCCTGAAGATATTCCGATGCATATTGATCAGGTGGCCTCTCAGAGAGTATTTTTAACGAGCCGTTTTCGTCTGCGATGTCTATCACAACTGAAAAAGCAAGTTTATAAAAAGGTGTCCTTTCGTGTTCTATAAATAGGCTTACTTACTAGCTCGTATAAAATTTCTTTGTCAAAGGTTGCTCAGTAAAATGCTTGCCTTCAATACATAAACGGGATTTAAAATTTTGAGAAAATAGCAGATTCTGAAGTTTTAATAGAGCTTGAGTTTACTTAATCAAGTGACGAATTTTGCAAGCAACCTCACCTTTTTCCTCGCATCTGCATCGAAGCCTGATGTTTTCATACAACAAAATCGTTGGACAAAGCAAGTTGAACAAGAGTTTCTGGTCATCTGCAAAAGTCAAAGACGAATAGCAGGGAATTAAAGAGGAAGAAGGGCAAAACCAAATCGGTATTTGTACTTGCTCTAACTTTTTTAAGAACTTAAGCCTAAGCTCTTCAAAGCCAAACTCGAGCTATGCTTACCTCCAAAGTGAATAGTTATAAAGGACATTTCATCTCTTTCAGAATTCTCTTGTCTTATAAATTCAATTGCTGTTTGTAGTATTTTCACAGATGAAAAATAATAGCTCCAAAAAATAAGCTTCTGTTTGAGGGAAAGATCTCTCGCCGTTTCCGATACAATAAGCTTTGTAGATTTGTTAAAATACTGTCAAAAAAATACAGTATAGCCCTGCTTTTCCCGCCATTCAGCTTACCGGCCGCCATTTAGCGGATACGTCAATGACGTCATAAAAAAACTGCGTGACCCTTTCGCCCTCTGTGTCCGCCAGTTGGCCTTATAAAATCGCTCATTTCTGGGAATGGAACTATAGAGCGTATAGGCTTGTCAATACTATTAAATCAGACACTCAAAATGCATGGCAAAATTGAAATACTCATCTTACGTTGTTCAAGAATTTTTTGTCAGTGAGAATCATTATACGGGAGCTCCTTCCTATATGCATGCTCAAAAAAAGTCACAAGGCATTTTTTCCTTTTTTTTTGGAGAGGCAGCTTTCAATTTTTCTCGCTAATGTATATTACTAGTATAATGCATATTACTAGTGCCAGCAGAATTTGTCCAATTGAAATGTTAACGACAGTTTGGCAAAGTCTATTCCAGACTTTCAGATAGTCCCCCTCGCCGTTTTTCCATGTCACATCACCTTGAGCCTTCCCGACAATCTAGAGCAACAGTTTATTACAATGTGGAACGTCCCTTCCCCCAACCCTTCCCCCTTCCGCGGTTCACTGGTATACCCTGGCTGAGATAACAGGAAGAAACAGGAAGTGTATTAAAACTTTTGTAGACGCGTGATGTGCGCTGTTTCGCGCTGCTTGGAGAGCTCTCGCAGGAGGGTGTGAATGGGGTCAACCGACTAGCGACAAAGGGAAAAAAAAATTTACTGACTACCGACAAAATGAGTAAAAAATTACCGACTACCGACAGGAAAAATATTAACCGACTACCGACATGGGCTGATATTATCAATATTTGTTTCCAGAAAAAAAAGCATTTTGTATTTATTCTAATCGTTAGCTCGAGGAAGTAACCTCTTTAAATTTAAGACTCATCAGATGGCTTAAGGGAAAGAATTTCCCTTTTTTGTTGTTGATACAGGTACATTGCTACAGCCAATATCAAAATCACAAGGTCACACCTTAAACATGCTACCGACGTTATAAATTTTATTGAAAAGTCAAAGGTGAAAAAACCGAATGTTTCTTGCTTAGATTAATCCTCAAAGGAAATTCTTTCCCGTTTAATGTAAAGCACTATCAGTACAAACCCACGGTACCGCGATGAGCACAAAGACAGCAGTTTCCTTTCCAACATTTTTATGGCACATATTGAAACACGAAGTTTTAGCAAAACCGTCTTTAAACCAACTGTTTAAAAACCTACATAGATGACATGTTTTCCCTATGGGACATAAGTAAACCAGACATCGTAGCTTTCTTCGCGGAACAAGTAAACTTACATGCCCTCCTATGAAATTCACGGCCGAAATATCTGAAAATGAGACATTCTTTTTAGAAACGGTTGTATACCAAGGTACAACATTCAGCGAAAAAATGAGAAAAAGCTATTCTTGACGTAAAGACGCATTTGAAACCACAGGGTACCCACACAATCTGTTTGTGTAGTCGATTGTTGAGCAATTTTGAAAAAATAGCTCATATGTCAGTGGTGTGAGCGTATGTATCTTTGTGGCTTTGTATCTTTGTGGCTTTGTATGTTGGTGCAAGAGCCAATTAGGTTGAAGGTACTATGAGTTGATGCTTAGGAACCAATGAGATCTTGGCATCTATTTAAACATGGCATTGGTAAAGGTCGAACAAGGGCACTTTGAGACCGCCATCTTGATCCTTCACAATTTTTTCGTCTTTTATTACGGGTACAGGTGTTTGGAAGCATTACATAAAATATCTTCATGATTCAAACGCTGTGAACAGTGATACAACTGTTTAAGGGTTCATATTTAAGTGTGGATGCTGCTTCGAGGCATTTCTGACCTAATTCGGCTATCGGTACAACGCACGTCAGTGTGAGTTCTGTTTCACCTGCTACAACTGGGTAGAGTATAAAAGATCATATATTTTCAAATCTCTTCCAATGAAGCAATAATTGATATTTAGATATAGACTTTTATTCGAAAGTATGCGCCCTATAAAATGTGGTTTTAGAAGTTTAAAAGGCAGCTTATTTTTTTGAAAGCTGTATCGAGTATTGTTAATCCTGTAAACAAGCTTTAAAAATATTATTCTCTCGCTTACAAAGTTCAACCGACCTTTTTCGTTCTATTTAGTAAAGATGCGTAACTTAAGTAGAAACAGTGGCGTTAGGGAATAAAATTGGAGGAAGCTAGTTGACACAATAATCATGATATAAGTAGAAATATATTTCGGCAGTTTGATAATTTTCTTGGAAGTTAATAAATGTTAGGCTATCAACCTTGACCTTGCATGAAACATAATTTAATTGCAGATGTTGTAGTAAAGCCGAGGTGATTTCTTAAAATCGTTTAAGAAAATTTTGTAACATCTTCACATGCAAATTGTGTGCATGAGTTATTTTTATAATTCTGTTTACTAGATTACTGTGTGATAACTCGAATTCCCTCACGTACGAACGACGAAAGGGGGCAAAGTCCGACACTTTCACGTGCCAGCTGTGTGACTGTACATCACATGCAGATTGGCTTTTCACAATAATAATAGTAACTTGGACGTATGAAGACCTGTTTCATTTAGTAACCAATGCCTTAAAAAAGGCTCTTGTCTTTTTGGAACCAATAGCTTTTAAAACATGACGAAATAAGTTGTCGGAGTTAAAGACCGTTTCACAAAATTTTGTTAATAAAATGTTAGGTTATCAACCTTGACGTTGCATGAAACATAATTTAATTGCAGATGTTATATTGAAGCCGAGGTGATTTCTTAACATCGTTTGAGAAAATTTTGTAGTGAAGAATTTTCCTTTTTTTAACGTACGAATTGTAAAAGGGCCAAAGACCAACACCTTCACGTGCAAATGGTGTGCGTGAGTTATTTTTAACTCGTGGGGACGCGCGAGCGTACCACGAGTTATTGCAGGGACTAGGATATGCAAATTAGTCACTCGCTCACTCGTAGTAGACGGACATCGGGTCGAGGTTAATCCGAATTCGAGAGTGCGAAGATCTATCGTTTCCGAAGAGGCACACGTTCCCCGAAGTTCGGTGTGATCAAATTCTTATAAGAACGTGCATTGTTCGCTGCTCAGACTCAGAGTTTTCTTTGTGACAAATTTTTTACGTCACGGTTAGAGGTCTTACCAAATTTAAGACACGGAGGAGTCTTTCAGATGAGTACGATGGTTAACTTCGGGATTGGATTGACGAGAAGATGAGCATTTTCTCTTCGACTTCTCAAGATAACGGGGGGATACACTGCATGTATACAAATTCCAGCTTGCTGGAAACTGTGGAAAGTGATCTGAAAGGTCTGAAAGTAAGAAGATATCATGTCATGCTATTCTTAAGACCCTGTATGAACCAAAAATGGATGTGATTTTGACCATTACTGACAGCTTCAAAGTAACAGCGGAAATCGAGATAAGAAAACATATGTTTTGCATCGTAATTCGCAAACGAGGTGTATCGGCTTTGTAAAGCATACAACGTATGTTCTTTCATTCATGTTGCCATGAAATGCGTTCTGTTTTTGTTGTTGTTGTTGTTATTTTTTTTTTAACTGTCAGTAGCGCCGTTTTACGCGGCTCGATCATCTTCAATGGCGTTTGCCGGTGGATTTTCCGTGGAAAAGGCATTAAATAAAAAACTTCTCGCCAAAGTGACGTAATCAGCCTTAGTCGTGTAGTGGTTAGGTAAAGTTGCAACGAGTTGAAGGTGCCGGGCTGGAGTCCTGCTCGTTCCTTTCTTTCTTTCTTCCTTCTTTTTTTCTTTCTTTTTTTTCCCGTTTTGATTTGTTTGTTTTTTTTTTTTGCTTATTTGTTTTGTTGTTTTTCTTTAAATATATACCTAAATACATAACTCTTATTTAATAAAGTGCAATAAACAGCCAGAAAAGTATTGTGTTTCCAGGAAAAGATAGTATATTTAATACATGAATAAACAATCTGAATTTCTATCATTTCCTACAATTTACTGTGGGAAAACCGGAATTGATAACCATTTGATTATTTTCTAAACAACGTTCCCACGAGTTGACGATAGTCTTTCTTTGATTATAATTCTGTTTACTCAGCTAGTTTACTATGTGATTACTCGAATTCCCTCACGTACGAACGACGAAAGGGGGCAAAGTCCAACACTTTCACGAGCCAGCTGTGTGACTGTACATCTCATGCAGATTGGCTTTTCACAATGATAAAAAGTAACTTGGACGTATGAAGACCTGTTTCGTTTTGTAACCAATGTCTTAAAAAAGGCTCTTGTCTTTTGAGAAGCAATAGCTTTTAAAACATGAAGAAATAAGTTGTCGGAGTTAAAGACTGTTTCACTGAGTAGAATCGCACGTGAAAACCTCTTGAATTATGATGATGCAACCATCTACCACAATGATAAAAATCCTGGTATTTCGTAACTATTCAGTATTCGATGAGTCACATTTTGGTTTAAGAAACTCCGAGGAAACCTTAGAGTTTTCCTTCTAATCAACGTTTGGTGAGTAGAAATTTATTTCACTTTAACGATTTGTTTAACTTGCACCAGATGTAACAGGGAAAGACAAAGTGAATATATAGCTTGAGGATCGACTCACCTGAACGTTTCGCGTTTTCATTTTGTACCGCAATACGCAATTTTGCACAAAAACCTAATCTACATTTAGGATGAAAGAGGTAGATTGATCACTCTTGGTAAGGTTGCACCGAAGCATTAAAGTTACACTGAAGCATTCAAAATAGCTCATGCACGTTTAACGTGCCTATGTTTATTTTATAGTAAATGTACTGGATTTACCGTTTGCTTCACCTATAGCGATATATCGCTAACTATGTATATAAAT